CCAAGGGGCTGCGCCGGAGCCAGCGGCAGGCTTCCAGACCGGGAGGAGCGCGCAGAGCTGCTCCTGTTGCTTTTGGGAGCACGGAAAAAGGCCTCCAACAGCTTCGTTTAGTGGCTTGCCACCTCCTGCGGAGCTGGGTGGTGAATTGAACCTGTCCTGGATCCCCTCCTCGTAGGAAAACTGCTCTGTAACACTCAAAGCTACGGGCTGGAGACAGGAGCAAACCTTGGACGTACCTTCATGCCATCCGCCCCCCTGTAGACAGCCGTGCATCCCTGGTAAGGACACTTGTAGATGGTTGGCAGCTCCTCCCTGCAAACAGAGACCTGCCGTCAGCCGGCGTGCCGAGCGCGGCGGTGCTGCCCAGCCACCGCCTGCTCCTTATTACCTTTCGCATTTGATTTTTTTTTTCCAGCCTGGCTTAGGCCCCGGCTTCTTCCTTATTTTGGGCTCTTCTGCCTTTTTTGTTTCTTTGCTGTCGCTTTTCTTGCTAGAAACCCTGGAAGAAGGAAGAAGGACAGTGGGTTAACACTTGATGTTGGTTTTAGCCCTCCCACCGAATCGTGCCCGAGCGTTACGCCTGGTCTGACAGCTCAGCCTGATGTTTGACCTGGCAAAGCAGGAGCAGCCGTGCGTCAAGTACACGTGAGCAAAGCTGCTGTAATTAGTGCTGGGCCCAGGGAAGAGGAACACGGCCCATCTTCAGCCTGATGGGCAGCTCAGGGAAACACAGGTGCTGGGGCAGTGCCACGACCTCCGGGCAGGGACACGCAGGGAACTGAGGCCGTAAAGGAAAGCGGTGGTGTCGGCCCAGCGGACCGCAGCCTGGCACAAGCAGGTGGGCACCGGCCCTCCCGCTCATCCGCAGGGAGCTCTGCTACCCACGCAGTAAACCTCTTACTTCTTTTCAGGGTAAGGCTCGAAGGAGTCATCAGAAGATGGCACGTTTCTCTTCTCGATTTCGTCGTCGCTCAGAAAGTCCCTGCAGGAGAGGAGATGCCCTTTACTGGCTCGGCACCAGCGTCTGCAGCAGCAGCGATACCTGCTCTTCGTTCCCAAATGCATCCCTCTCCCCCGCAGCACCCGGGGCTCCACGTGTTCTCCTCCCCCGCCATCTCCCCAAGCACATCCAGCCCCCGTGAACGCAGCAAACGGCAAAGTCAGGTCCTTTTAGGACTGGATCTCTGCAAGGAGAATCGAGCCACGGTCAGGGGAACAAAAAAAAAGGGCTGTTACTGAAAAAGACCTATTTATTGTTGAGGGATGTTGCCACCGCTTTCTGTGCTGGGAAAAGTCATTTTGTAGAGCAAGAATGTAACATAATTGTCTGGCGCAGGTTAATTAAGCTGCAGGTCATTCTGTCTTTCCTCATATGTAGCGGCCACTTCGGTTTTGGGTTTTTTTTTTTCCTTTTAAGTCCTAAGCTATACAAGCAGCAATTAATTCTGAAGCCAGGAAACAGGCAATGAAGTGTTGTGCCACTTTTAACGTGACAGCTGGCAGATTTAGCTGACACGCTGAAATAAGTCTGCACTCCGTCATTTGGTCAGTTAGGCTCGGAATGACCCGACTCAGTTATCAGTTATTTACAAGCCTTGCTTGAAATACCTACGTTTGAAGGATTTAGCCAAATCTTTGATCACAGACACTACCCAACTGCCACTGTCCCTCCTGCTCCTGCTTCCCGTTTCCCCGCTCTCCCCGTGAGC